GCCTCAGGCAAAGAGGATGCTTAAAGCTTACTTCTAATTTTACTGAGTATATTCAGTTTCCTGTGTAGCTTAAGATCATTACTTGTTTCATTAATTCAAAATGACTAAATGTGACTAAAAAGGAAAAAATCAGAAAAAATTAAAACTGTTTTCAGCTATGGGTTTGCATCTCATAGCAGTTGAACTGTCACTCAATTTTTCTGGGCTTTTTTTGCTCTGGTTCATATGCAGCAATGAAGAAAGTTGATATTTTCTTCTAATTTATATCTGCAACTTTTTTTATTACCTTCAAATATTATTATTTTTCCTTTGATCTTTCCTAGACAAAAATGTTCTCCTATGATTTTTTTAATCAATATTTATCTTCATTCTTTCTTGTTCCTGTAATTACATTCTGTAAAAAGTGAGCTGAAAGCAAAGTTAGGCTAAATCATAGTGGTGGTCCACAGGAATCTCAGCTTCATATTTCTATTGGTTGCACAGTAGTAAATAAGATAGATGCTCTTTGTCACACCCAGTTTTGCAGGTGAGATCCCAAGACAGCCATGGCATTGAGGGAAAAGGCACTGTGAGAGTCAAGAGGAGAGCAGGGTGTGAATCATACGAGTTTTATATCCCAGGTCAGCCCTGTTACAACAGAGGAATAGAACCAAAGGGTGAAATGTTTGCTCTCTCTTGTTTTTATTTGTTGTCATTGGGTTTTTTCACTCTCACACCAAAGTTCTGCATGCCAACAGAGTCATGCCTTAATGTTTTTTTTCCCTTAGCTGCCACAGCACTAGTCTTTATTAAAATACTACATCAAATTCTACAGTTTAAAGCAGAACCTTCATTTGTCAAAGATCCTTATAAAGTTTTCTGTCTTCCCTCTAAAAATATCAAATTAAGTTTGTGACATTGCTCTAATCTAATAACAGTTATTATGTACTCAAATTGAAAAAAAAAAGTGTTTTTACAACTAACATAGAGCATTTGTAGATTCTGCAAGTCAATTTGAACTGAAAATTATATTGGTAAGGACTCATGTTGGGAAATATGAAGGAATGAAAATACAGTCCTATCCACTGAGCTGCCTAAATATTTACTCACTGTACTTCAAAGAAATTTTTTGTTAGAAATTACGATGGAATACTTTTCACTACAATCTCCCAAGGGTCTTAATATTAAAAGTTGAGCCCTTCATCTCTTTGATGAATTGCATAAAGTGGTCCATTTTATCTGTGGAGTTCTAATGCCTGTTTCTGTAAAAGTGGATGAAAATAGGGATCTGATGAAAATCAGCTGGATGACACTTAGAGGGAAAAGCTGAGTTGGGAAACTTCATTTTAGATATTCAGCCAGACCATATTTCATTTGTTGGTTCTAACATGGTTGTTCACAACTTATTTCTCTCTGCATAAGGTTTCAGAATTTTAAGAATTCTATTGCTAACAATAGTAATACAATGAATTCCTAGGAAAATTAAAAGATCAGTTTGATAGATACTTATCTTCCTACAAGCCCTCCTTTCTGCTCCTTCAGCATGTGGAATAAAACATTTAATACTATTTAATATCAGAGGCTCCAAAGCGAGGACTTAGACTTTATTTAAAATTCATTCACACCTCATACATTTAACAAGCTGCCTAGAATAATTAGGAAATTGCTTTTGTGGCATGTATGAAATGATTTAGTGGATTAGCACGTCACAAAAGAGTCTGGCTTAAGGAAGCACCCACTCTTATGGTGCATACACAAATAATTTACATCTCTTGAACTTATACTTGGGAAATTCTCATGTTGTGGTGTATAAATTAGTGTATGTGTTTATATAGGCTTATGCAAAAAGAAAGACCTGCATTTTTAAAGGCTGTTGCAGTTTGTGATTTATCCTCTCACTGTATTTTGGGGACATTCTGTGGAATTGGTGGACTCTTTCAAAATGGCGCCTGTATTTAATTCTACACAACAATATAATTTACTAAGTTGTCTCTCCTCATATCCGAGTCTCTTTAAATGTTTTGAAAATGAGGTCTCATATTTTGGACAGTGCAGGTACTGTGCAGGTGTGGTGAGAGATCACAGAATGGGTGGGTGACACACAGGGCTGGCATCTGTCATGCTCATGCTACACTTTGTGTTCATCCATTAGATGTAATCTTCTCAAAAATCCACCATGCCCACAGGAAAGAAATAGTGTTATATCACAAAAAGTTAATGCCTTAGGTGGAGGAGGATGCTTTTATAACTAAAATAACGTAGACACTGAATATGTGATATGTTATTAATAGTCTTAGGTGCAATTTAACTTCTCCTTTAGCAATGACAATCTTCTTTAGCTTTTCACTAGTTCTGTATAACCATAATTCTGAGGCTATAACATGCAACTGAGCTAATTTAAAATGATATATCAAGGTGAGAGTCTGACATTAACTGATATTACACAGTCTATTTTCACACTGGTCTAGATGATCTTGTCTGGTTCTGATATTCTCTTCAGGAGTATCATTGCCATAGAATCACAGAATCATAGAAAGGCTTGAATTGAAAGGGACCTTATAGATAATCTCATTCCAGTGTCCCCACCCAGCCTGTTCTTGAACACCAGGGGTTATCTGTTGTATTTACTATTCCTTACAACTTCAGTGTTGCAACTTTAACCTTTTTTTTTTTTCTTTTATTTTCAAAGCTGATGGATATGCAATTAGTGATTAATGAGAATAGTTTAAACCAGCCTTCAACTATTTCTTGTAAGCATCTCTCCTTTGCTGTTTAGATGAATGCTGAATAAAAACCCGTGTACAGGGAGCATTAAAGTGGGCTTCCTATATCACATTTACCAAATATGTGAGAAAAGCATATGAAAAAGCTTTCAAGTGTTGCTGTGCAGACAGCTGCTTGTGGGGGAGGTCAGAGCCTTTCAGCGAGCTGCCACTCTCCAGTGGCTGTTCAAAGCGCTGCCAAGGCTGCCCGGTGAACATCCATTTAGCAGGAAGTGTTTGTCCTCCCCTTGCTCCATAGAACTCAGCTAAAAAACCATCCTTTAATGGAATAGGAGCAGGCTGTGACCTCAATACCCAAATCAAAAATTGATCTTTTGGTGCACTTTTTTGCAGCCTGTTGCTTTAGATTATATCTATATATCTCTCCCTTTCTCTCTCTCTCTCTATCTCTCTCTCTCTCTCTTTCCATATATATACACCTTAATAAAATCTCTATCGTACTGTATGATTCAGACCTGACTGAAGAGCTGAATAAGAACTAGAACTTGGTGTGCTTTAAGATTCTGGTGGTTTGGAATACTTGTTACTCATCTGTGCAGGCTTCCACAGTGTGTTTCTGTGAGAAAATCGGAGTGCATTATTCCTTTTATATACCTGACCCTGTGCTCTGAGTTGTGTCATGCAGTGAGGAGAGGGTGACACAGCCCGTGCAGTGTAGAAACATCAAGCAATCTCATTCTGCAATTCAGGCCAAGAAGTCCTGTGGTATTTATAGCAGATGTTAACCCCCTGACCTGCCGGCCTCTCTCTGCATGAAATGGGTTGTGCTCTCTGGAGCTCTTCACGCCAGCTGAGGGAGCTGACTCCTCACACAAAGGGATGGCACAAAAGGAGCACTATTCAGGCAGGCTGTGCTCTGGGTACTGCAGATCCTCACTAGCTATGGCCCTCAGTTAAATTTCTTCACTGCATTCACATGTGGAAAGGCATAAAGTGATACCAGGCATCTGAGCAAGAGCAATACAAAGGATTAGCCATCAGAAACCTTTTGGGGTTGTTTTTGACTCCTTCATCCTGGCTTTTGTGATTTGGCTTTTAAATCTAAATTGTGTAGGGGTGATAAGTGCAGATAAGTCTAGGTGATAATCATAGTTTTTAAAAAGCCCGCTCTGACATAGCTTGCATGACAGCCTAATCCAAAATACAGCAGTAGCTCTCTGTAATCTTAATGGTAAATGTTGACTTTATCCAAGCTTACAATTACAAATCCTCATTTAGACTTAACAGAAGATTACTACAAAGGAAAAGCTAGTGACCTTAAACTTTTGTACTCTGAGCATGTATAAATGGCTCCCTCTATTCCAGCGTGATTTCTGTATATGAAAAAAGCAACACCCAATGTTTCTTTTGTTGCATTTAGTAAATGATGACTGATAGCTCTTACATCCATTATATTGCATTTCTCAGTATTGTTACATAAATCACCTCACCTTTTTTTTGTGCTATTGTTGATTTCTGACTGCTTTCTTGTTAAGCACTGCTGAGGGCACTCTACCAGGGGCTTCCATGATAGTGATGGGACTTTACAAGGGTGAGCTGACATAATTCTTTTAAAATTCCACCAGCTAAATATCTGTTTAGTCATTTTTAGTGCAGCAAGATCATTTCAGAGAACCATTTTTCAGCTGAGTGCGGAATTTCAACTATTTAAGGAGGACTAAACTCAAAGCACAATCAAATTCAGTAATTACCTGTTCTTTGCACTATTGCTTGCCTGTCTTTGAGTCTCCCCTAGAGAAGGGTAAAATGGAGCTATTTGGGTTCTGGAGAGTGGGGCAGTCAGCACTCAGTGTTTTGAAAGACTCCACATAGAGAATAAAATGGCCTTAAATTCAATTAGAACGTGGATATTCTGACCTAAATTTAAGGCACATTCATGTGTTTTGTTCTGTTCTAAAAGTGCCTGGGCTTTTTGGACGACTGTAAAATATAACTTGAATTCTGCTGGTTTCACTGCAGAGCACATTGAAAGACTTCAACTTTAGAAACAGAAATCCTTCCACTGTAGGAGCTGCTGACATCTTGAAATTAGATTACCTCAAACACAAAAGAAAAGTTTTTAAATATTAAAAAGACAAAGGAAAAAATTGTTGGTAATATCAGAACAAAATTTCAGTGGGAACTAACCTGCTATTTAAAGCTAGTGTGTCTACTTTGAATTTTCATTTTGAAACAATGATTTTCATTTCAAATGTTCTTGCTGAAAAAAATTAACCTAATTTACACTATTCCTCACAGATATTTTATGTGCAGAAGATTTTCAAACAAAGCATTTGAAGTTGCTTTGCTGGAGACTGAAGAGTGACAGGACATGAGCCCTGGTTCCACTTAAGCCTGGAGCCTAAAGTGTCTGAATATTACAATTGTAAGCATATAAATGGATAAGTGCAGGTAGGTACTTCATCATACTTCCTTCATCTCCAAGTGTGAGGGATATATGGCTTTGGAATCTTGTTCCACAAATATGCATTCACTTAAAAGAAACTCATTTGAGCCCTTTTCCTTGGATTAAATTCTAATGAGCAGGGCTGAAGCAGAAGAGATTTGTGTTTCCCACACTGAAGCCAGGCTGAACCTAAGAAAAGGAATCATTAAAAGAGTTTATTATAGCAAGTTAATATCTTAAGCTGTTAACAGATTGTTTTATAAAGGGAAGAACGTGATATTTCATATTTTTCTGACAATTTATATCTGTAGCAAAGAGTTTAATGAAGACAGACATTGACACAAATGTACCATATTCTTATAACAGTATTTATATTGGGGTTATATTTTTTCCTTGTCTTCTAACCCAAACAGTTTCTGCTTTATTCCAATGAGTTTTTATGAGAATTATCTTCTGTGAGAAAAGTACAAGAGAGCCTATAGCTCATTGATTTTATTTCAAAATCTTTAACAACCTTCTAGTTCAGTGCTTTAATTTTGGACAGTGTAAAAAAAATAAATTCAAATATTATCTGTGTTTCATTTTTTTGTAACTGAAGGAAAGCAGGCAACAAATTCCCATTTAAGAGTGGTTATGACAAACAAGAGAAGCAATAATTATTTTTCAGGACTTCTTGACCTATTTAATCAAGTCTCTACTGCTGGAAAAACTATCTCATTTTTGACTTTCACTTTATTTATCTCATATATTTATCAGGTGATTAATGTTAAATATGCAGCTTATTCCTCCTTAGAGAAAAGCAATATTGATTTTATTCACAGGATAATTTAATTTCCATCAGTATTTTAACTTCAATAAGTTCAGAACTTTTCCTGAGGAATAGAAAGAAATGCTACTTAAAGTAAATGAAATTTTGCTATTGATGAATCAGGAAGTACCACACATTAATTCATGGCAAAATTAACTGAAGTATCATAATGACTATGCATCAGACTTTAAATTCATGCCAGAATTTATAAGCAGTTATGGTAATTAATATATTAAAACAAAATATCTTTTAAAAATAGTATTTTTTGTAACTGAGTGGGAAAATGCTTCAGCTAATCTTAAAATGTAAGAAATATGTTGTAGAGAAATAACGTGCTAAGCTCCAATTCGTCATAAAGAAATTTTTAAATTTCTAACCTTTTACAGTAATTATTTCATCTATAAGATGATTTTTTGCATGGATTCTTGTAGGTACTAAATTCACGGGCTGTTACAGGGACAGGAGAGCACACCAGAGATGGGGTAATGGGCAATGTTAAATGTTGGCCTTGATGCAGCTTTCCCCTCACATGAGATATTGCACCATGGTCAGTGCAGCCTAACACATTTTGACCATCTGGTGGCATCAGAGATGGCCTTCCCTGCCAAAGAAGAGGAGGCACATGGTGGGAGAGACTTCATTTGCCTGACCACAGTTCTGGAATTAAAATTCTTCCTAAGTAAGTCATTTTTACAGGTGAAGTCCACATAATTTTGTTGGGTTTTTTTCCCCCTTCCCTTTTGCAGCACAAAAAGGATTCCTTCGACCCCAACAGTCTTATCCTGGAAGGAATATTCCCTACAGATCCCATCTTTTCTACATTTTAAATTCCCAGGTCGGAATTTCTATATATTTTTTGGTAAGAACCATAGAATCTGGATAGAAAATTGTAAACAATACTAAAAAAACTGGAGTCGTGCTGCCAGGTTACTCAGCATGCTGTCTCAGTCTGTGGAGCTGCAAAGTTTTGAAAGAGGTAAAATTCAGGGGAAATCTGACTTGGAAAAGTTATGTAATTTTGAAAAAAGGAAAAAACCTATTGTATTTTTTAAAAAAAAAACAACAAACTTCTCAAAATCTGATTTTTATTTTTATACCCCAAGTTTCCTGTGCCTGTAGATTAAAATGTGCTTTCTTTATATGTCATTTTCCAGGAAGTTTGACAGGCATGCCTAGACTCATGTCTTTTTATGTCTTACTGCATGAGCACTTACCAGCAACAGCTCTCAGTAAAATATATTAGGTATGCCTTTTAATACTCTGACAGTTAATAAATTCTTAGTTGATTCTGGGACTAGAAGTGTTTGTTCATGTTTGAAGATTAATAATTGAGGTTAAAATCTGTCATTTAAATAAAAAAATTCCTCCCCTCCCCAGTTTATTCCAGCCCCTAAACCTTGGTGTGTGATAGTTTTCAGGTTTTACTTGAAAGCAAGATTACAAAGAGTGTTTAGACTAGTGACTCTGGGCTTTGGAAAGTGCTGCAAAGGTTTGATGACAGAAACAATTGAACCCAAATTTAGCAACTGGTTGTGATTCAGATCATAGCTGACAGAGTTTGGAGAGGCAACGTGGCCCTAAACACCCCCGAGAGTGGCCCAAAGCTTGGATTATCTGAATATCTTGAATTATCTTGAATTAAACACTGAGAGATTATCTGTGCAACAGCCTTGCTGCTGAAAACCTGTGGCCACTTGAGCAGGGCTGCAGGGACACACTGAGACTGCTTGGTCCAGGCCAGGCCATGAGCAGGGTGGGGACAGCTGTTGGCTGCACGTGCTGTCCTGTGTCCCTCATCAATTGTGGGCAACACGGGCACTGCTCCGTCCTGAAATGGTGTGTGATTCCTGAAAGGCTGTACGAGCACATTCCTGCTTCCCTTGTGGAGATCTGAGATGTTTGAATTCATTATTGATTGTTAAAGGAGACTCATGACCTGTCAACGTCAATATTAAAGGCTACTTGTGGAATTAGGTACCGTCTTGAGGAAGAAGGGTTTGCCTCTGTTCAAGAGCTGTTGTATGAGGAAAAGCCATTGCTAGGCTTTTGTTTATCTCTTGCCAAAAATCCCCAGGATTTATGAACTCAGTGTGTTTTTACCAAAAGTTATGAGGAGAGTTAGGGAAGAGTGACCTTCCAAAGCAGAGACACTTTCTAACCTGTTAGCAGGAAATCCAGAGGTTTAGGTCTTCCTCCTTCTCACAGTGGTTTGTACCAAACACTTTCCATCACCCCATTGGTGTCAGGGAATATCAGTACACAGCTTTCAAAAATTTAACCTGCCTATTTATGTATTTAATTCATCTTTCAGCTTCACTCTGCAAAAATACAGATAAATAGAAAAGAAATAACAGCTTGACCCAACACCTCCTTGCCACATCAGCCCTGCCTGAAGTAATGTGGAGGTACTCCTCTCTGTTTAGTGGGAGCTTCACACTCTACATTCCACAGGTTTCCAGAATTACACTGAACCTGCTGGGTGAAAATTTGTCATTCCAACAGTAGCATGAAAGAGGATCTGAGAGAAGCCAGATTTGAAACTGCAATTTGTGGTCTTTCCTCTCTGTTAATTTGTTGCCCTTTCTCTTAAATACCTCTAGGGGAATAAAATATGTGTCTGGTTGTCTCCAATATTATCTCAGTTGCTTAATTGTTATGTCATTTATTGTACATGACACAGCTTACAGGAATTAAAATGACCACCAGTAAACTTTCAGATAGATTGGGTTCTCCAGGTGTTCTGCAGTCCTGAATGAATTATAGTGGGTGTTTTTAATAGCTATGGAACTTAAACTGTGGGAGAAAAAGGAAATGAGTAAGGCTCCTAATTTGAGCAGTAGTACAAGAGATAGCAGTGGCCTTTTGTGACTCATAATAAAAAGAGTTATGACTTCAGGAATCAACAGAAAGCTGTGGCTCAGTCCCAGAGGGTTAAGTTTTCCCACTGCTGCATATTCTTATGCCAAGCAATCTTTAATCTTTTGACAAAAGAGTAAACTGTGCAATTCTGTTGTTTCAGGATGAAATGTGCTTAATGATACCTTGACCTGTGATCTCTGGGATGAAAGAAAATTAGGTTAATTATTAATTTATGTGAGGTTTTTTTTCCTTGAGAAGTGACAAAAAAAACCCCCTCTAAGTTGTTTGAATTATTTCCTTTTTTTATACAGTCAGTGTTAAGTGAAAGAAATAATTTGAGCAATTGGTTTTCAATTTCTCATTGAAAGTAAATGAAAATGTGGATTGATTCTGACTTAAACAGGGAAAGAGAAGCATTGAAATTTTTACTTGGCTTTTTTGATTTATTTTCTTTTTTCATGCAGGACTGAAAAAATATTAAAATGTACTTTTATACTTAACATAGAATTTTACATATAACTTCTTTATTCTCAACTTTACAACTATATTTTGTAGCTTTGTTTTTCTATTCACAATCCAAAAGAGAATCAGACAAAATATAGTTTTCATCATATATATATATATATAGTTTTTTGGCAAAGCAGGCCTACCTACAGCTTTTCAATGAGAGATTATAAAAGTCTATCAAAGTATAAACTCTGCATCCCTTTAAAAATATTTTATTTTACTCCCTTCCTGTAAGCAAAATATGCAAAATAAAAAAAATGTTCATCAAAATGAAATGTTTGTTAATGAGTCATAACCGTCAAACAAGCAGTTCTTTCCTTTTGATGACTGAACTAATTGACTTTGCTAAAATGAACATTCAGACATAAGTGGTGGTTGCCACAGGATGCTCATTTCAATTACATCCCTAAAGCAGGACACCAAGAGATAAAGTAAGCTGGGTTTAATAGGTTTTCATCCCTCCCTCTGCTCATCATAAGCACAGGATGTCAAAGAACTGGGGAACTATCTAATATATGTTTTTTTAAATTTAAAGTCTGTGTTTGGAAATTTTGAGCAGCTCCCTTCTTCAAGGCCACAGCTCCAGCCAGTTTAGTGAGCTCAGACCAAGACTGAAACTTGTGCCGATACTTGCTGCAGATCTATCTAATATGTGACTTTCACAGGACTTGGTTCCTTTCTCAGAGCCAGGTTTCACCTGTGATGATGTTGATCTCCTATTTATAGCAGTCATTTTCTGAGGCCATCACTTTGCCCAGTGGACAGGCAGATATCCTCCAGAGTTGAGGCTTGTTTGTGTTGGGTTCTTGGCAGAATTATCTGAGTTGAGCAGATCAAAGGGTAGAAACCGAGCAAGGAGGTTCTGCTCCTGGGCCACTGATGGATGGCTTTGTTCACCTATAAAAAAAAAGCAGCCCTTTGGAGAGCAGGGCAGGAAAATCATCCAGGGCAGTGTGAAAATCCGATAGCCTTGGGGGATGAATGGCCCTTTTACAGCCGGGGGAGCTAAAATAAAACCTGCAGCTGTGCAGCCAGGAACTCCACCATACAGCAGCAAGGAGCACAGGACAGCTCAGGGCACTGTTCCACAGCAGCCTCACTCCCCACTGACTGGGGCTCTCACATGTAGATCTCCCCTCCAAATAAATTACTTTCCCTTTGGATCAGTGAGTCATATTCCAGGAACAGAGGGAATGACTAAATCTAATATGAGGAAAGGGTAAGGAAGACGTCAGTGGAGTTAAGAGGGGAAAGGAGACAGAATTAAACCATCACTTTTGGCAGCAATGCACAGTTTGATGAAATTAGGCACAACGTGAAACTGTGCCTCCAGAGAGCTTGGGTGAATTGCAGATCTTTTAGAAAAAAAATAATATGAAGCCTCTTGCTGTGAGGAGTAAGTAGTTGTACAGTGTAGTTTTGAGGCATTTCTACCAAAGGGAGAAAAATCATAAAATATTTTTAGTGAACAATTACATCTATTGGAAAAAAAAAAAAGGAATTTACCTGTATCTGGCTAGAAATTTTATTTTTCTAGTGGGATTTTTACCAACACCTGACCCGTTCAAGCAGTTTAGCCCTCATTTCCTATTCTTATTAAGGCTGAAATACATCTGCAACAGCTGTTTCTGAATTTTATCAAACTGATTTTGGTATGAATGTTAACTCATTGTGGTTATAAGTAGGCTGAAGCACCAGCTCATACAATATTTGATGTCCTGTTTGCACTTCTTCTCTTCATCTTCCCTTCTCGTTGTATTTTGCTGCAATTCTTGCTCTCTGAAAGACCTGCATTGTTTAACTCTTGTGCTGTTTTATCTTTTTGTTCATGGCACTGAAGGGTAGCAAGGTTTTTTATAACTCAGACCTTTTTCCTGCAGAGGGACAGCTCGATCCATCCGAGGCTCCCATCCATCTGCTGAGGCACAGACAGCAGCTGACATTGGGGCAGGTTTGTAAGTAGAGCACTGAGAGCAATTAGCATTTGAATTAAAGCTACCTGTGGATAACAACAGGTGATTACCCTATTTAACAGCTGTTAAGTGGTGTTATTTGCCAGCTATAGACCACAGACTGAGTGAATTGTGTGCATACAAATGGGAGTCACTGTGAATACAAACGAAGGACGTTAATTAAATAATATTTTTTTATATTGCAATTGTGAAACATAGAGGCCGACTCAAAACAGATAAATGGTAGCAAAAGAAAAGGGTTTGGAAGTGTTTTAGAATGCAAGACAGGAACTTCATAAATGCTAAACTCCTATGTTTTGGCCATCAGCGTTTTGTTCTAGAAACAGAAAAGC